TTTTAAAAAATAATCTTCCTGCAAAATATAGTATCATGTAATATTAAAGCTCAGTCCGAATATATTTTTTGAGTTTTCAGTTCCAATTTTCACATAAAATGCATCAGATTATCTAAGAACAATTTAAAAATAAAGCTAAACAGTAACATATAAATAGTTTAAATCTCTCTTTCATTACACCATTCAGAAATTCTGGAATCCTTTTAAAACAAATTACTCCTCATAGTGATGAATTTCCTATTTAACTTACAGCTTTTATCATACATTTTACTAGCCTCATCCAATTTAAATTTTATTGGACCTTTTCTTAAATAGCCTTTTAAATATTTTATAGTAAATGTTGATTACTTAATGCATTGTTTCTCAATCACTTTTTCATTATCACTTTCCTAAGGAACCTTTTTAGACATTTTTTCCCCTAATCACCCCCACCCTGTGAAATTTTAATATCTGCTTATGTGCTGTATGTATATCCATGCTTTTTATATGCAAAGAGTAAGATTTTTTTTCACCCTCCCAAGAACACAATTTTCACCCTTCTAGAAGCAAGACTGCCCCCTTTGAGAATGAATGGCCTAATGGGGCAGTGTAGGAAAATGTCATTTTAACTTTGACAGTGAATCTCAGGCCCATGTATTTTGTTTTTATAGCTGCCTGCCTCTCAAACATCACATGGTGACCACACCAACACTACTACTGTGGGGAGAGAATGACGCATTCATGGAGGTTGAGATGGCTGAAGTCACAAAGATTTATGTTAAAAACTATTTCAGGCTAACTATTTTGTCAGAAGCCAGTCATTGGCTTCAGCAAGACCAACCTGACATAGTGAACAAATTGATATGGACATTTCTAAAAGAAGAAACAAGAAAAAAAGATTGACTTTTCTTTATCTTCTATGAAGGGTCTGTAATGAAATCTCTAAGTAATTTTTAAAAATTGTTCATCAACTTCTTTATGTTTTATTAGGAAAAAAACTGTTTTAATGTGCTTTATCATAAATAAATATCCTGACAAAATGGTATTGAAAAAAATCTGAGATCGTGTGAACATGTAATACAATGTTGATTTTCTTCTGGTGTATTTTGCACAGACAAGCATCTGCCTTAAAATATATATACTTGTACAAAAAGGAAGTTTGGAGTAAGTGGCTCCGCTTTGGTTTCTTGCTTTTTCTCACTCTGTTAACATATGGTGCCTTTTACAAATGTATATTAAAGATTAGCTGTGCTATATTGTGAGGCAAACCTGCAATGATATAAATTTTCATTCTATTGTTCAAAAGTTCTTTTTACTACTTTTACCCATTAAAAAGTTATATTATCAAATCTCTTTTGGATTTATAGTATATCTATTAGTTTGAAGGCAAATATAACTAAATGAATATGCATTTTTAAAATGGGCCATATACTATTTATACTGGGAACATTAAACCATTTTTTTTTTTTGAGACAGAGTCTCGCGCTGTCGCCCAGGCTGGAGTGCAGTGGCCGGATCTCAGCTCACTGCAAGCTCCGCCTCCCGTCTCCTGCCTCAGCCTCCCGAGTAACTGGGACTACAGGCGCCTGCCACCTCGCCCGGCTATTTTTTTGTATTTTTTAGTAGAGACGGGGGTTTCACTGTGTTAGCCAGGATAGTCTCGATCTCCTGACCTCGTGATCCGCCCGTCTCGGCCTCCCAAAGTGCTGGGATTACAGGCTTGAGCCACCGCGCCCGGCATTGAACCATTTTTTAAAGCTGACATCTTGACTGGGCGTGGTGGCTCATGCCTATAATCTCAGCACTCTGGGAAACCAAGGCGGGAGAATCGCTTGAGGCCAGGAGTTTGAGACCAGCCTGGTCAACATGGTGAAACCTCGACTCTACCAAAAATAAATAAAAAATAAAAGTAGGCAGGCGTAGAGGTGCACACCTGAAGTCCCAGCTACTCAAGAGGCTGAGGTGAGAAGACAGCTTGTGTCCAGGAGCTCGAGGTTGTAGTGAACCATGATTGGGCCATTGCACTCCAGCCTGGGCAATGGAGTGAGACTCTGTTGAAACAGAAAGGGAAAGGGAGAGGGAAAAGAAAGGAAAGGACCCTTTTACTCCATTCAGTGCAAGAAGAATTGAATACTACATGCCTTGTGTGCACTAGAATCTAAGCTCCACAGGGCAGGGTTTCTTTTGTTGTTTTGTTAACTGATACCCAACTCTAGACTAAGGGCCTGGCATATTGTAGGCACTCAAATATTTGCTTAATGAATAAATAATATATGTGGCATACTGCTAGGGACTGGGGGTGGGGGGGGAAATATAAAAGAAAGATAAGGTGGTAACATAGAACTTTCCCATAAGAAGCCTTAAGGGCCAAGTGCAGTGGCTCACGCTTGTAATTCCAGCACTTTGGGAGGCTGAGGTGGGTGGATCACCTGAGGTCAGGAGTTCGAGACCAGTCTGGCCAACATGGTGAAACCTCATCTCTACCAAAAATACAAAAATTAGCCAGGGATGGTGGCAAATGCCTGTAATCCCAGCTGCTCGGGAGGCTGAGGGAGGAGAATTGCTTGAACCTAGGAGGCGGAGGTCGCAGTGAGCTAAGATCGCGCCACTGCATTCCAGCCTGGGCAAGAGCAAGAGTCTGTCCAAAAAAAAACACAAGAGAGGCATATATAGAATGCAGTTAAATTAAACAAGGGTTCAAAAGTAGAAATGAACATTATAAGTAAGAGTTGGAAAAGAGTTACAGAATAGAGAACAATACCAACTCAAGGGACTACTACTCATTCTCTTAGGTTGTTCTCCTTTAACATGGGAGGCAACCAGTAACACTGCCAAATCCCATCACATAACAGATAAGCCCTAAATTGATGAAAGGATTGCTTCCTGCATTAAGCATAGATCTGATCATGACAGAACAAAGGAGAATGTCCCTAAGAATTCTCATTATTTTATCATAGCAACTTGTATTTACAATAAAAGTCCAATTTTCTATATAACAGCTTCATAAGAACATGCAAGGTAGGTATCACCAATTTACAAATAGTAAAAATGTGATTTAATGTGTAACTTTGCCAATGCCCATAGTGTAAGTGCTGGAGCTAAGATCTGACCTAGAGCCATCTGGTGGTAAAGCCCATGATCCCACTTACATCAGATACCATTTAGCAGACTTTGGTATCCATGCCACTCTTCCTGTTTTAGCAGCAATCTGGTGTGTTTCAATAGATGGATACATCTCTCAGGAACCTACAATTTGAGTTTTAATTTTGGGAGGGAAAAGGAATTAAAGTTAGCAATTAGTAAACATCGGAATATTCTATAGAACATTGTCAGAGTTGCAAATGCCACAAGGTATAGAAAAAAGCCTGGTTCATACCAACTTGGTGCTTCCCTCTTGACTCCTCCGGAAGGGCAGCAACAAGGGAAAGAATGGGATGTGTTGACACAGTAAAGTAATCCTGACTTATTTTAATAAAAATCTGTTACTGACAAAAGTGATTTTAAGATTTTTTGTTGTTGCTACTTCTGTCAATTTAGGAAGCTGACAAGTTCATGTGGACAAATATTAAGAATTTTATCAATCAAACGTTCCATGGACAATTCTGGCCTATTACAATGAATGTACTCTAATTTTCAATGGATATGGAAAAGTACTTGTAACAGATATAAAGCTTCAAGGGTGCCATCAGTTAAACCTCTTATGATAAACAGTTATTACTATCTCTAGAAATCTATTTGTAGGGCAAGTAAGTGAATTTGACTTACTAGCTGCCAAAGCAGCTCACAGTAAGTAAAAACAGGTAATGGCACCTAAATTAAAAGTTGTAATTTTTAATAATATTCATCTATTCGAATTAATATATCCCTAATAGTACATAATATATACCTAATTTAACATCAGAAATTGCTATGTGAAAATAATTTATTAAGCATATGTCAAAAGCAAGATATTTGCAAAAAAAGAAAAAAAGATTGTGCTGTTGCTATGATTTGAATTCTCCTGTTACATCATTTACCAGCTTTGATTTTTCTGATTTTAAAGGTAATGCAGCACTTTCTATTAACCTACAATTGCCTCTAAGAGTTCTAATTATGTGCAAACAGAAAAAGCAATTGGATGTGGGGAAGGGGTGCATGCCAAAGGCTGCCCCCAAATCCAGGCTACACACAGCCTGAGTCTACTAAGTTGATTTCATGACTCTGCAGTCCACAGACTCTGAGTTGGAGGCGAAGGAGTCTGGGATCACGCAGGAGATAATCAAATCCTTGTACCCTCAGTCGACATGCTTCGTTCGGTGCATGGTGCTGGACCTGTATCATCCTGGTGGGTACAAATGTCCTGCATGGTCTTCCTCTTCCTCTGGCCAGTGGCCATGCTTTCCACCTTTGGCTATCCTGCTCAAATCCTACAACCCTGCCAAGAGTTGGAAAAAAAACTGGTGAAACCAGTACTCAAGCTCATGGTTCAGGTGACTTTCTTTTTAGCAGGGTTCCTGGCTAAAGTGAAAGGGAAAAAGGCAACCCAATACAAAGCCCCTATCTTCATTACAGCACCACACTCCACTTTCTTTGACTCAATCCACTGTGTGATGGCAGGGTTACCCTCAATGTTCTCTGCAAGTCAAAATGTGCAGATCCCATTGACTGGGAAATTCCTACTGTCAACACAGCTGGTGCTTGTGATCCGAGAAGACCCCAATTCCAGGAAGAATACTAAGGATGAGGCCAGGCGCGGTGGCTCAAGCCTGTAATCCCGGCACTTTGGGAGGCCGAGACGAGCGGATCACGAGGTCAACAGATCGAGACTATCCTGGCTAACCCGGTGAAACCCCGTCTCTACTAAAAAATACAAAAAACTAGCCGGGCGAGGTGGCGGGCGCCTGTAGTCCCAGCTACTCCGGAGGCTGAGGCAGGAGAATGGCGTGAACCCGGGAAGCGGAGCTTGCAGTGAGCTGAGATCCGGCCACTGCACTCCAGCCCAGGCGACAGAGCTAGACTTTGTCTCAAAAAAAAAAAAAAAAAGAATACTAAGGATGAAATCCTGAAGTGAGTGACATTTGGAAAGAAGTGGCCACAGATTCTGATCTTCCTAGAAGGTGTGTGCACCAATCGCTCCCATCTAGTCACTTTTAAACTAGAGGCCTTCTGTCCAGGTGTTCCTGTGTAGCCAGTGCTGCTCAAGTACCCAAACACCCTGGACATGGCAATCTGGACCTGGCAGGGATTTACAGGCATGTATATTGATCCTCAGTCAACCCTTCACCAGGGTAGAAGTTGCGTTTATGCCTGTTTATATCCGAAATGATGAAATAAAAAAAGACCCCATCCTTTTTGCCAATACAGTACGCGTCAACATGGCAAATGCTCTGGGGTGCCTGGGACAGAGCACACTTATGAAGACTGCAGACTGATGATCTCCGCAGGTAACCTTCAACTACCCATAGAAGCTGGTTTGGTGGAATTTACAAAAATTAGCCAGAAGTTGAAGTTAGATAGGGATAACATTCATCAGCATTTGGATGAATATGCTGCAATTGCAGTTGCCTCAAAAGGAGGGAAGATAGGAATTGAAGAATTTTCAAGTTATTTAAAACTCCCAATTTCAGAGCCCTTGAGACAACTTTTTGCCCTCTTTGGCAGGAATAATGATGGCAGCATAGACTTCAGAGAGTATGTAATAAGTCTGACTGTCCTATGCAATCCTGCCAACATTGTAAAGAGTCTGCAAATGTCCTTTAAGCTTTTTGATCTTGATGCGGATGGCTTAATAACAGAACAGGAGTTTGCTGCTATACTTCAGGCAGCTTTTGGAGTGCCAGATCTTGATGTTTCCAGGCTCTTTCAGGAAATAGCTGGACAGAAATCAGTGTACATTTCATATGAGAAATTTAAGAAATTTGCCCTGAAGCATCCAGCATATCCCAAGTTACTTAATTCACACCTAGACCTACAGGCAGCCTATATATATTCATTATCCCAAAGAGTACAGTTTTAATCACTGTATTCAAATGTTACAGGTTAGCCCCGAAAATAGTGAAAGTATCTTCTGGTAGAAATGATGATTGAAGTAAAAATTACTCTTTGAGGAAAAACTCAGTAGTTTACACTCTAAGAGGCATAGGCAATTATGATATTTAAAATATGCTTGAGGAATATTTCAGTTAGATTTTATAGTATCTATTTTTCTTCTTTCTTAAGATAGTGTTTGTTTTAATGTGACCTAAATGTAGAAGAATAAGTGATCTAGTCATAAATCTTGTTCACCCAGCAGGGTTCTAGTTAGTGCCTTTATTGTCTTTAATGCTAAAATAAGGCCAGAGGAACATTAAAGCCTATCACCTCTCCCTCACTGTTGCAGAAGAAATATCACATTAAGAGCTATACTGGGGCAGGCACGGTGGCTCACGCCTATAATCCCAGCACTTTGGGAGGCTGAGGTGGAAGAATCGCTTGAGACCAGGAGTTTGAGACCAGTCCGGGCAACAGGGCAAAACCCCATCTCTAAAAAAAATACAAAATTAGCCTAGTGTGGTGGTATGCGCCTGTAGTCCCAGCTACTCAGGAGGCTGAGATAGGAGGATCACTTGAGCCAGATGTTGCAGTGAGCGGATATTGTGCCACTGTATCAGCTTGAGTGACAGAGATCCCATCTCAAAAAAAAAAAAAAAAGCTACACTGACAGTAAATAAAAACATTAAATTACCATTTGCATTTCCTCCAAAAAAAGGAAAGAGCTATATAAATACCTCTTTAGTCATTCAAAAAGTAGCCTCAATTTTCTTATTTTTCTTATTTATTATTATTTTTTTTTGAGGCAGAGTTTCGTTCTTATTGCCCAGGCTGGAGTGCAATGGTGCAATCTTGGCTCACTGCAACCTCTGCCTCCTGGGTTCAAGTAATTCTCCTGCCTCAACCTCCCCATATGCCTGGGATTACAGGCATGAGCCACCACACCTGGCTAATTTTGTATTTTTAGTAGAGACGGGGTTTCTCAGTGTTGGTCAGGTTGGTCTCAAACTCCCGACCTCAGGTGATCCGCCCTCCTTGGCCTCCCAAAGTGCTGGAATTACAGGCACGAACCACCGTGCCTGGCCTAATTTTCTTATTTTTCTTTTTCTTTTTTTTTTTTTTTTTGAGACGGAGTCTGGCTCTGTCGCCCAGGCTGGAGTGCAGTGGCCGGATCTCAGCTCACTACAAGCTCCGCCTCCCGGGTTTACGCCATTCTCCTGCCTCAGCCTCCGGAGTAGCTGGGACTACAGGCGCCCGCCACCTCGCCCGGCTAGTTTTTTGTATTTTTAGTAGAGGCGGGGTTTCACCGTGTTCGCCAGGATGGTCTCGATCTCCTGACCTCGTGATCCGCCCGTCTCGGCCTCCCAAAGTGCTGGGATTACAGGCTTGAGCCACCGCGCCCGGCCAATTTTCTTATTTTTCAAGATAAAATAAATATTAGGAAGATATAGTATTGGGAACACATTGCAACACTTATATACGGTATGCCTGTCCCCTGCTTGCCTTTTTAAAATATAAAAGTGATTATTTTGAATGAGAAATCACAACAGATTACAACTTCTGGAAAGCTGAAAAAATATCATAAACATAGGTCATAAATATAGGAATTTTGACAAATTTCATTTTGTATGACTTTAATCAAAACATAAAAAATTGTGTTTATAATTAACATGTTCTGCATTACTGAGAATATTCCTTTTGTTCCAATAAGGCATCAATGAGAATTGAAGTCTCTACTTATTTACACACTTATTTCCAGTACCTGTCAATATGTGACATCTTCACATAGTGATGTGACCCTTGGGCCCTACCCCTTCATGTCACCATGCAGGATGAATCAGCAAAGTATTCCTGGAAACCCTTCCTATACCAGGACAGGGAGCAACAACCTATCTAGACATAGAAGTGAATGTGAACTGATAAACATACCCCATCAGTCCTACTCACTGAATCCCCTACTTAGTTTCACTGTGACTGAATCTTAAAAATGCTTGTAGCTACTCCGTAGCACGAGATATGAGGCAACATTTGACCAAAGTGTGCCAACTTTACAAAAACATAACCAAGTAAACACACTTTTAGGGATGCTACTAGAACCCTAGAAGGGGCTTGTGGAAGTGGGACGCCTAAAGCTTTGTCAGTTTCCTGATACTTTCAGGAAGTAGAAAGAAAGAAGAGAAGAATGGGAGAAAGGTAAGGAGATGAGGAAGGAAAAGAAAAGAAAAAAAAGTCAAATATTATTTTGAGATAATTTCCATGCAGTTCTGCCCTGAAAAAAAAAAAAAAAGATTTGGATCAGTGATTTTTCATAATCCCCATCCAGGGCAATATTCCCATGATAATAAATGCATATATATATATATATATATATATATAGAATTCAATACAATGATTTTTTTAAATGTACTGAAAATTGTTCACTTAAATAACGGCTTTCACTTAAAAGTAGTTATCAAGCAATATCTTTATTCAAACAGTGGTAGTGCTACCTAAACATTTGTAGAACTCTTTTAAAGTTGTTTCTCATTAGATAGTGAGCTATACAAAAAGCAGGGTCTTTATTATACTCTCTACATTTTAACCTCAAATGTTTAGCTGGGCATGGTGGTGTATGCCCATAGTCCCAGCTACTCAGGAGGCTGAGGTGGGAGGATTGCTTGAGCTAAGGAAGCACAGGTTGCAAGAAGCTGAGATCACGCCACTGCACTCTAGCCTGGGCAACAAAGCAAGACTCTCTCAGAAAAAAAAAAAAAAAAGGTTTAACATAGCTTTGTTTAAATCCTCTTTAACACTTAACACTTAAATTTTTTATTTTAAAATAAATACAGATACAGAAAACCGTATCAGGGAAATTTATAGCTAATAATAATTATTTTATGTTATAAATATCTATATTTCATATTCTAAATATAATCTGTTTTAAGATTAATACTCTCGGCCAGGCCCGGTGGCTCAAGCCTGTAATCCCAGCACTTTGGGAGGCCGAGGTGGGCGGATCACAAGGTCAGGAGTTCAAGACCAGCCTGGCCAATATGGTGAAACTCCGTCTCTACTAAACAAAAATTAGCCGAGCGTGATGGCGGGCACCTGTAGTCCCAGCTACCTGGGAGGCTGAGGCAGGAGAATCGCTTGAACCTGGGAGGTAGAGGTTGCAGTGAGCCAAGATTCTGCCACTGCATTCCAGCCTGGGCGACAGAGGGAGACTCTGTCTAAAAAAAAAAAAAAAAAAAAAAGGTTAATACTCTTGCAACTAACACTCACATTGAGAAATGAAACTTGTCCAGCCACCTTATAAGCTCTTCCATACCCCTGTCATAATTACAAACTCCCTCTTCCTCTCAAAATTAAGCTCCTTTCCTGACTTGGATAGCTTCACTTCCTATATTTCTTTACTTTTTAATCATCTAAATCTGCGTATTTTGATACCGTGACGCTTCATTTTGTGTGTCAACTTGGCTAGTCCATGGTACCCGGATATTTGGTCACAGATTACTCAAGATGTTTCTGTGAAGAGATTGTTTACATGAGATTAACATTTAAATCAGTAGACTGTGAGTAAAGCTGACTGCCCTTCATAATGTAGGTGGGCCTCATCCAGTCAGTTAAGGCCTTAATAGAAGAAGACTGACCCACCCTAAAGAGGGTAGAATTCTGCCAGCAAACTGCCTGTAGACTTCATGTGCAATTCTTCCCTGGGTCTCCAGCCTGCAGGCCTCCCTGCAGATTTGGGGGTTGCCAAGCCTTTACAATTGTGTGAGCCAGTTCCTTAAGTCCTGCCCCCTACCCCATACACACACACACACACACGTATGTATATATATGTGTATACACACACACACACACACACACACACACACACACACACAGAGTTCTCCAGAGAAACAGAACCAATTGGGTATATATATATACATCCAGAGAAACAGAAAACTGTAATAATAGATGCTATTCCTAGACCCTATAGTTTATTCATGCCAATTTTAGACATTGGATGTTTTTTCCCCCTACATTGTAGCCCATGAAAGATATTTTTCAGACCTTTTAAAATCTACAGATTTCCCCTCCATCCCTTTATTTTGCTTATACTTCTTCTATTGCAGAAACTGGGCTGTTCGATCTGTGGAATTTCCCATAGTCTGCATTCTGCCAACTGCATATTTATGGTACAAATCAGCATATCCTTCTGCCCTTTGTATTTTCTGCTGATTGGAATCCAGAGGCTTGATCAAATTCAGGTTTGATTCATTTGGCAAGATCATACATGTAGTGTGTTTTTCATCAGAAAGCATATATTGCCTGGTTTTCTTTTTGTGATTTTTGCAGTTATTGCTGCTCATCACTTAGATCATTGAGGGTTGTAATATGGTGCTATTCTGATTCTGTAATCGCTTTTCTTTTTCAAATGGCTTTTCCAAATGGCTGCCTATTCTTAAATATGATGGCAGGAAGAAATCAAAATCACAACTTCCCTGTCCATGAAGACCTTCAGTGCTCATCATCACTATCACCTTTGTAAACCCACCACAGCCACTGGAGCTAGTAAAACTTAACTGCTAGGAGGAAACAAACACTAACAGCAAAATGACATTGCCTATTTGAATGGAAGAGAGTGTGGGGGGAAAGCTAAAACTCTAGAGAGTAACCTTCAAAACTATTTTGTGATGATAAGTCATAAGCTAATAATACACATCATAGCAGAATTTTACATGGATTATCTCATTTAGTCTTTCTAACCACCACATGAGATACCCTTATCCACATTATAGGGAAACTGAGGCTTGGAGAGCTTCACGGATCAGCACAATAGACTCAAGCTCAATAGACTTAGACTATTAGACCAGTAGGCTAGGTCACACAACTAATAAACAAGTTAAATTGGATTCAATATCATGATTCTAAAGTCTACACTTTTAACCATTACACACATGCAGGGAAGAGTCCAGAAACAGTGTAAATGAGGTTTGTGCAGAATCCTCAGCTTTTATCAGTTCTATGTGTTGCTG